ATATTATTGCCCACAAAAGCTATTTATAACGCATTGAATGAGGTTTAAATATTATTGGTTTGTAGTTATCAACATTTATATTTTCTTTTAAAATCAATTTCTAATTACATGTGAAATATTATATAAATCCATTTTTATTATCTAGATACTGTATATACAGGCGACCAATCGATATTTGTTGTTACATAATGCAAAATATTATGTATATATTACAATTAATATAATAAATTCTTATTAATTAATAAATGTTTCTATTAATACTAATTAATATTAATAAGTTATTATCTAATGTTATTTATAGGTAATGTTATCCATTATTTGAAAACTCCTAAAATTCTCATGTTGCCGGAACGCAATTTATAGGGAAACTCCGGAAAATCCATTTCCCATTTTTGAAAAATATATTCTCAGAAAATAGTTTTACGGAAAATTCTTTGTATTCCTTTTTGGGGAAATAAGACAAAAATGTGATTAAACGATGAATATAAATATATTAGAAGAATTGATAAGTCAGAGTGTAATATGAATTTTATTATGCTCAATTTAGAAAATACTATATAAGTTACATGTAAATGCTAAAATAAATACGGATAAATGGGAAAGGAGACATTTGTTCATATATTAAACTGCATACATGTATAGGAAAAGGAACACATCTTCCACAATTATACATGTATATATTTACCATATATTCTAATACAGTATACTTGTAAATACTTTCTTATTTATAATTGTAATGCAGAGATGTGTTTTAATTTGAAGTTTTGATGGCATGAGTTGTGTTATTCTTGTTGGTGTTATTAAAGAGATTGAGTCTAAACTGTTTGGCCAAATCGTGTAATTGATTTTCCATACTTTCCAATCGAGACGATACCTGTCCTGTAATCTGTTGTCCCAAATCATCCCAACGCGTGAGTGTTGTCTGCATTGCTTGTAATAATTGATTACCAGTTGTCTGTCCAGTCGTTCCTTCAATATTCAATACAATATAGTCATGTAAAGTATATATACTGTACAAAGTTATATTACCAATAGTTTGGCCTAAAGTCCATGGCTTTAAGATACCCATCAAATCACTGGATGGTTGTTGTTGTGATCGTACAAACATTTGCATTAAAATCAAATAACTTAATATAAATGTGAAAATTAACTTCATTTTTACAAATTATATATTTATGACAATCTTTTAGTAAATCTCTCATCGATATAAATTGATATAAAAAACAATCCTTATTTATATCATTCCACAAATTTATCAAATTGTTAATTAAAATTGTTTTATTCAAAGCACTCTTTGTTGTGACTAAAAATATTTTATTCATAAAATAAATTATTATTTTATATTATTGTAGTATTGTTTGAATGTTATGTCAAAAATAAATTACAAAATAGTTGTTTTTTAATCTTATTATTTGAAAATATCTATTAAAAACATTGATTAACATAATTAGCATAGAGTTAATAAACCTTGAAATGTTTGTGATCACAACATTTGTGCCCCAATTCTCACATTTTCGTTAAATCTTTATCAAAATATATTTGTGACAAATTTATTGTTTAATAAGTTATTATTGGATAATAATAATAAATAAGTGAATTAATGAATAAAACAAGGTTGGAAACCTAGCTATGGATTAATCTCAATTCTAATCATATGTAAAAAAGAGGTAAATATTTGAAATTGTTGTTTTAAATTCTTATTGTTTTTTGGTGTGGTTTAAAATATATATCATTGACTTACCTAGAGTTGTTAGTAAGTATCACATGACACTTTACCTTACGTCACATGATTTGTAAAGTGTCGCATAGAAATTCTATGTGACGATTGAGCGTAATATAGATCTGTATTTCAACGCCATCTGCCCTCTCATAGAACATTGTTTTTGACCGAATTCACAATTCACTTACAAAGGGGGGGCAAAGGGGAGGCGAGAGGATTAACTGATGATTAATTATCGTGGCATAAATAGTGTAATTTTTTACACAAGTATCCCAAAATTCAACCCTTTTTGTTACACATTTTGGGAAATGCATCAAATATTTCAAATTTCCCAATTCTGTTGTTAGGATGCTTTCAATGTTGTTGTTTTCAGAATTTTAAATATTTTTAACAATATTTAATTATATTTCAATTATCAATTTAAGTTTAGTCAAATTCCATAGAATTAGCGTTAATTAGCATTACTCATTATGAGTTATTATGAGTTATTAAAGTAATCCTTTGAAGTCTTTAAATTATTAAAATGCGAACGTTCATAAGGTCGCGACACCCCCTCCCCCTCATTCGCAAAGGTTCACTTTGGCCAACCCCCTCCCCTCAAGTGCGAATGTAATTTGTGAACGTCCCCTTAAGGGTTAAACATACAAGAATTGTAATAGAATTACTTTTAAAAACTAGAAATTAATGCTAAACTATAGGCAATGTTAATTTATGAACTAAAATATTTGATACTAAAATTAAAATATTAAAAGCCTAGATATAATTACTTTTATATGCATATTTTTAAAAATAATAATGTTAAAATAAATGAGAAAATATCCAAGTTTAGGTAAATGTCCATTTTTAACAAATATTGTCAATAGTTGACGTCATGTTATATGTATGGCAAATCTTGCCATGTAAGTTAGAATACATGAATAATACAAATGTATTCTAGCCCCCAACCTTAGATAAACATAACTTTTTAAAATTTCATTTATTCAGAAATATAGTGAAGAGATTTATAGTATTTTGCAATAAAAATGGAAAATTTCAAACATGTATAGAATTGAAATTAATGCTAATATTCTAATCATATAAATTTTTAAATATATAAATCTACTCCAGGATTACATTAACAAAATTTTGTGTAATTATACCAAGCCCGTTGTCCGCAATTAATTTTTAACTGTGATTTATTTTCCCGCTCTTTCTCACTACCCTGTCCACCAAACAATTATTGCAGTTTACCGATTAAATTGATATATTCTTTAATACGTTAACCTCTAAAATCATTACAATAGTTGTTTTATACAAAAATATTTCGATTAAATTGATTTTGGTCACTCTATATAACATACATTTTTCGGTAAATTTTACCGATTTTTGGGTTCGGGTGCGTATTTGACCATGTTAATCAATTGTCATACTGTTGTAACTTCTAGAATCTTTTAACATATAGAGTATGATTAAGTTCAGTACTTAAGTTCACCAAAATAGTGCCGAGAAATGTACCCAGATGAGTGGTTACCGGGGGTGAGTTCGGGAAATGATTTTTGCAACTGCTGACCATTGAAAATGGTTATTTTACGCGTGATTTTATATGGTATGATATATCAAATTAAAGGTCTAGTTTGTCTCTAACTATTAAAACTTAAATACTTATAATCAAACATAAAACAAGATAAATATAATTATTTATATAATTTATAAATTTTTCCATTTTTATTGCAAAATACCTTATATCCTCAATGAATTTACAGTAATATACTGTACAGTATATTTAGTGTATACTATTTTTGTTACAATTTTGTTTCAATTTTTCTTTTGTGATAATTAACAACTTGTGTTATGGTTAAACTAACTACAGTGTTATTTTGTATATGGTAAGAATTGTAAAACTACATTGAATACGTTGAATTATAATTTAAAAATTAATGATGTTCATATATAAATATAATTTTTAGAGTATGATCTAAATAAAATAATAATTATAATATTTATTAATAAATGTTACAAACAAAATAACATTAAGCTCACTTTTATTTATGAGTGCAAAATATTTGCAATTAGTATAGTATCATAAAATTAAATTGTTATCCAAATCTTAAGTTGTTTGGAAAGAATTTGATGTTAATATCTGATCCGCACTGTATATCAGTGTCATTCTATGTGTTGCAGTGCAAAGTGATGTTTCACCAAATGTACCATCATAATTCATGTTTCAATCATATTTAATAAATATTACATTATAGTTAAATATAACAATTCTGTTATTTAATATAATAGTTATAGAAAATAGTCCAAATAGTTTTCTGAATATAATTTGACAAATATGTTCAAAAATCATAGAATATTATCATTTAATACAAGTTTTACCGTTTAATATGTTCACATCATAATAGGATAGTGCTTACCTATTATGTAATAGTTTAGTTATAACATATGCAAACCTTTGTCCATCGAGTGATGCACATGGGTCAATTTTAGCTTTTATAGATTATAATTTAATATAAGTTAATAAGATAAAGTAAAAGTTTAGTACAGTATAGCTTCTATGTTGTCAACTATCTATGCTGTCAATTAATCTGTGTTATGAACAAAATGTTATTAAACTAATTTGTTTCACTTTATAAATATCTCTACATTTATTTGGTTCCCATTTTATTTTACGGAAACAATTGGAGAAACAAGAAATTGTAAATTCACTCAACACTAAATCTTAATTGTTTTGTCACAATTACAAAAAACTTTCCATAGAGTGCTCGAGCAGACAGACAAGTTTTCAAGACACTGTATGCAATGTTTACTGTTTAATAATTTTAGAATGGATTAGAATGTGTTATAACTATAGCAGAGATTATTCGGGAATAAAAACAATCAAATTTGGTCGGAAACCGGGAGTAAAACAGTCAACTTCGGGAACATTCAACGTTTATTCAATTCAATTACAAGAATTATAGATTAAAATCATTCAAAAATGTCTTATTGTAGTTAAAATAACACAGAAATTAAAGTTTTATTCTTTAAGTCTGCCTTCTATTTGCAAGAATATTCTTAAATTGAGAGAAAAAACGTTTAACATGGTCAAACTCACTAACTTGTTAGTGCACACTGTGTTAGACATTTTATCTCAAAATTTTGTGAATTTTTATAATAATATTTTTACTATGATATGTGCATGTACAAATTTTTGTGCACTATATGGAATAAATAATTTCAGGTAGTGTAATAGATTTACTACTAATGTTGGTAAAAATACAAAGTTTGTATTATACAATTGTATTATTCCTTGTATTATTCATTATTCTTTATATTTATTGTAACAAAGAATATTTGCATTTATCAATTATTATACTACAGTAGAGTAGAGTAGAGTATTTTACAAAATATTTTTTTCATCATTCATTTACTTATAATTGGGTCTAACTGTATACAAATTTTATAAAATTATTACGATTAAATTTAAAACGATTATTTGATTGTAGAACAAAACAATTTATGCTACATTAAAATGTTCTGCCATTTATAATTAGTATAAATAATACAATTAAATAGCTTAATTTTGATTTATTAACTATGTTAATTTTTCCCATAGTAACATTAGGTAAAAATACACGAATATTTGTACACAAGGATTTTTGCATTATACATTGTATAATACCAAGCTCCAAAAATTTTCTTGTATTTTACTAACATTATTTACTTCAATGATATTTATTACTGAATTACAAACAAATAATTATATGGAATAACTAAAATGGTTATTTTAGTCCATTTTACGCTTTGTTATACATTGATAATGAGTTATATAGAGTTTTTGTTCAATGATATTTTAATTATTGTAAATAATTAATAAAAATATTCGATTTTTTAAATTTCATATAATATTTTGAAAGTAATATAAACCTTAATTTAATGCATATTTTGAAACAATATTAACTTTAATTTTAAATTATGTTTAAAAAAATAAATTAAATTATAAAATGAAAACGTTAATTGTTTAATTTAATGTATGATCTATTGTTAAACATTAGCCATTGTTAAGTGTCGTATATTGATATGGTATATCTAAGGACTCTATTTTTCGGGAATAAAAACACCCAAATTTAAGCGGGAATTGGGAGCATAAAACTGTCAAATTCGGGAATAAAATCGGGAATTAAAATTTATGTTTTATAAATAGTAAAACAATAATTATGCAATTAAAGATAATATTATACTTTTCATTAACTTTAATATTTAAAACCCAAATTACACAAAAAACACTTTCAGTTTCGACTTTTAAATCATTATTTGATTTTTAATGATTTCTTAATTTAAAATTCTTAATTGCTATATAAAAGCTACTGAATATAAAAACTATATAGATTCCCGAAAAATAGAGGCTTTAGGTATATCGTATAATGATGCAAAGTATCATACATTATATTATTAATGATTATAAACACTATTACTATACACTTATTGTCAATAGTGGTGTATCTCAAGGATAGTATATCTAATCGCAACTATAATCACGAGTAATTCTCATGTACTCCTATACATATGTATAGTACCGCCACTTAAGCCACTTTTGCTATAATATTGCTATGATATGTAACTAAATAGTCGACAATTAATACATTTAATAATAATAATTATATTTTGCCATTTATTAAGAATTCGTCATCATTTTTGTCAATTTAAACATTTAACACGTTTAGACATTTCAGTCATTGTATTGAATTTGTTTTTATTATTGATTGTTTGATAGAGTTTTAAATAATAATAATAATAATAAATTGAATGCCTAACTAATGAATTGCTCGTCTATAATGTCGCGTACAATGATTAGTATGACTACAACTAGTAGTCCATCGCATTCTTCTTCTGCCAATCCAACGCCCAACACGTCGTCCAAGAGTTCGGCCACAAGTGGTCAGTCCATCCTATCTGCCGATGAAATGGTAGAAATGTTAAAAAACTTGGCCGCAGTTAATGAAAAGTTGCATAAATGGGAACAATCTATGAAAAAGTTAGACACATATCCTGACAATGATATCAATAAAACATTAATGAAGGATATCATGGAATTGTAAGTTTGGATATTATTTTATTAATACTTTATTCAAATTCTGTATATAAGAGATACAGTTCTATAATTTATACATTTTATTAAATATTACAAACTTATAAAACATAACATTTTTTGATATTGTTATGAAAAGATGTTTCTAATTTGATATAATATTTATATGAATACAAATGTATTATTAAATACAATTTGTCTCAATTTTTAATTCTCTACACAAATGGCTATAATAATTGGTTTTGGAAAACAACACTTGAAAATATTCAATAGTATTGATAACGATAAGTCTTCGACTCAGGATAAAGCTATCTATCTTTACGGACAATTAGCTCATAAATGCCACCAACAGAAAAATTTTATGGGTATTTAATGTTTAATATTTGGTATAATTATTGTATAATTAATTTGTGTAATTGTGGCAAATGTTAATTTGTCACAAACTATATAACAGGCGCTGCAAAAGCGTATGAAAGAGCGGCAACTCTTCGTTTCGATAACCCAAACATATTAAACGAAAGCAATTCAAAAGATACGAAAACAACAATTCAATACTTGGAGTCAGCGATTGTTAATTACGATGCGATACATAAGTACAGACACGCGGGAACTCTTCATTACCGGTGCAGCAAAATCCTGCGCCTCATGAATGCCAAGAGTGAAGAGGTGGCCAAACATTACTGTCAGGCTCTGGAGTACTTCACTATGAGAAACCATGAGGTGAAACATCGCAAAAGAATTGATGTAAGTATTTGTACAAACAATTACCACAAGTCAAGTTGTACTAGTTAGAAATACATGTACAGTAGTTATGGTGCCAGCCCTACATTTAAGCAACGTTTAGGGGTCTCTGTCAACACTTAGGCTACATTTTCAAACATTATATTTAATTTATCAATTTATATGGTGAATTTAATCACAATGCACAATTATTATCAAAAAGTAATTTCTTTAAATACTTAACAGAATACTTAATTTGTCGTCAATTCATTATTATTTTGTAGTATAGAATTTTAGCATTCATGCAATAAGTACAGTAGTATTGCAAATTCACAGAATATATAACAGAATTTGCAACAATCTTTAATAAATTTAAAATATTTAAAGAACTAAAATAATTTCATAATTATTTTGAATGGAAAATGTTTTAATTAGCTTGATGTTGATATATTTCACCACCTAGTATCTAGTTAAAAAGTATATGAAGATTTTACATTTTTATGAAAATGTAGCCCAAAATGTCAAAATTTAACCTAAATGAAATGTTTATATAAAAATTTACCCTAGTTATAAAGTTAGTGAGAGTACATTAGTGTTCTTCCCATTCGATCTATTCTGTACACGTTCTGCATATAATTGATTTGTGGATAACTTAATAATTAAATGTCTATTTAATAATATTAAATAAATTAATATTTTTACTTTAATTTTTAAAGTATTGTTACATTAATATATTGTTATCATTTAGGGATTAAAAATAAGCTGTTATTCGTCTTCTAATAATTATAAACGAAAATGGGATTCAAGTCAACGATGTTCTCGTGATATAGACTATTATGTATCCAAATATAGCCGCTATACCACTCGTGAATGCGATTCCAATAGATCCACAGATAACGAGGTAAATACATGTAAATATTAAAATATGTAATAATCGATAACTGTTGGCAATGTATTGGTCTTTACAGGACAGTCAGGGCGCACATACCGTATGTATTGAATATATTTGCATACAATTGGTGTATAATAATTAGTGAAACAATTAATAGGATTATTTCATGTCTGGTGCCAATTGTTCAAAGACTGGAGACCTGTTTGATATAAGTCCCGCAGAACTCATGGCACCTAATATTCACCACTCGAATAAAGAGTCAATAATATCGATAACACAACACAACAACCAAATGAAACAACAGACCAATAGATGTATTGAGGATCGAATAGAATCGGCAAAAAAATTGGTTAAAAAGTTATATAAATTTTGTCCGTTTTATTCGGTGAGCACTGATGGCGAGGACGCCGGCAGAGTCTACTGCAAGATATGTGAGCGCCATTTGGGAGCCGTTAGCTCGACCCTCAAGAATCACGTCAACACTCAGGAACACAAACAGGCCGTTGAAGACAGTATTAGTGGAACTATTCGTGAGGACCAGAATATGTCGAAAAGTGGATCACAACAACTGACAGTCGCCGCACTTCCCGCGCCTCCCATTAGATCCAACTTATCCATAGCCAATGCCCACAGACCCAGTGCTATAGCAGGTGCTGTCAATTCATTCAACGCAATACAACAACAATCGCATCCAAACCCTAATAATTCTTCATTTGATTTCGAGACGTTTGATATTCAATGGGGTTTCCAATCGCCTAATCCTATGGACTATTGTCTGCCAACGAGTGCCACAACTGATCTTCACACCAATCCTCACAACAGCGCTATTATTCAAAACAAAACTATTACTAATCTTTGAATATTAGACTAATTTAAATAAAATAATAAAAATGTAAATCAAAGCACGCAATATTTGATTAACGTTTATACAGTATCTACAGTGTAATGTATACTATAGAGTCTATAGTATAAACTATAGGGTGTACTGTAGGTGATTGGACCTATTGGTTCCCTCTATAATAAAGCATTAGTTCATATTTTACAGACAATTGACCATAATTTTTTCCGGCAAATACCTAGATGAATTTAACTTTTTAAGGTCAACATATCTGTTATCTATGAATTGAATTCCAAATTCTAAAATTGAATGAATGAATGAACGATGAATAAATATACATGTATAGTGTCACTCATTTTGCCATGGTAGTACCGAGAATGGCCCATTCTCGGTACCATGATGGTACACTTGAATAATGAAATTGATAGCCTACTCTTTGTAATTTAATGGTCACATCTTTTGATTATATGAAATTAATTTATATTGAATAAAATACATGTATGATCACCATAATTGGTAAGCCACCATTGGTCGAGCTGTAAATATAACAAGAATGAAAATATTCCAAAAATAATAACTTGTTAATAAATTGTCAATACTAAGTTGCCATATATAATATTATTAATAACTCTAAAACTCGAACATTTTTTGTATATAATTCAATATTTCTCCATAACTCGAACTTTGTATAACTTGAAAACCTTTTGTATTTTAAATAATGATTAATGTTTTCCCGACACACACTGTCCACACCTATAACC